CAAGCTCACCATCCCCAGGTTCGCAGGTTACGAGACCACTTCGTGTTGACCCTGTTAGCAGTGGTAAGATTTGTTTTTTAAAGATTTAATTTAGCAATTATTTTTTTTGTTATGAATGGTATTGACGGTGGCATTATAATGCATCCGTAGGTTCTGAGGTCGAGCCATTTTGGAATGAAAGCTCACATTATACCTTCATTAATTGGGCCCACCCTAATGATGAGACGGAGATATTGTATGGTGACGATGATGATCACGGTGGCTGGCAATTAGGGGATCCTTTATATTTGTATCAGGAGTTTCGTAGCAAATCTGAAATGCAACATGCAGTCAAATTATATTGTATGAAGGCTCACCGTACTGCCGTTGTGGCAAAAAGTGATGACCATAGATTTGTGATGAAGTGTCGACACCATAATGATGGATGTCCCTGGTATGTGAGGGCATTGTTGCCGAAGAATGAAAATACTTGGGTGGTTAGTAAATGGGTTAAAGAACACACCTGCCTAAACCAAGGTCTTACCCGGGATCATAGACAGTTGGATTCTGATGTGATATGTGCAACCATTATCAGTATGTATTATTCGATATATCTAACTTCCTAAGGTATGTTAACGTTAATCAGTTTGTATTCTGACTGTTGGCCGGTGTTTTTTTTTATATAGGTATGTTAAAAGAAGATCCATCATTGAAGCCAGTTCTTATTCAAGAGAGGGTACAACGTTTGTATGGATACAACATATCTTACAGGAAAGCTTGGAAGGCTAAAATGAAAGCCATTGTCAAGTTATTTGGCGACTGGGATAAATCGTATGCATTCTTGCCTGGTTGGCTGACATACATGACGCAGGTTAATGTGGGTTCTGTGTTCAAGATTGATACATACCAATGTGTTGATGAACGTCGAGTGTATACGGATAAGGCTGTCTTTCACCGAGTATTTTGGACCTTTCACCAGTGCATTGAGGCCTTCAAATATTGTAAACCCATAATCCAAATTGATGGCACGCATTTGTACGGTAAATACAAAGGAACTCTTTTGATTGCAACTTCACAAGATGGAGATGGTTACATTCTCCCTATTGCATTTGCTATTGTTCCTCCTGGTGAGAGATTGGATGATTGGTCGTGGTTTCTTAGCCTCATGCGTTTTCACGTCATGCATAAGCATGGCATTTGTCTAATATCCGATCGTCATCCCAGCATCATCAGGGATGTAAAAGATCATGCCGGTTGGCAGCCACCATTTGCGTATCATGTGTTTTGTCTACGCCACATCGGAAGCAACTTTAACACTAAGTTCAGAGATGTGGAATTAAAGAAAACCCTGATGAAGCTAGGTACAATCTTCTTTTTAATATGTACAAATTGTATATAATTCATCCTTTTGTATCTAACGCATCATTTTGTATTTCAGGGTACTTGAGTTCAAAGATTCATTTTGATATCAGATTCCAGGATTTTATCGACAGTAACTCTCAAGTAGCTTCATGGATAGATCAGATTCCCAAAGAAAAATGGTGCAGGTCTTACGATGAGGACGGTCGGAGGTTTGGTCACATGACGACTAACTTATCTGAGTGTGTGAATAAGGTCCTGAGGGGTGCACGTAATTTGCCTATAACAGCATTGGTGAAGATGACTCAAAGTAGACTTGTTGAGTATTTCGTCAAGAGACGTGAAAAGATCCAAAAGGCAAAGGCAAAGGGTTGGAGAATTGCAAAAAAAGTTGAGGATATCATCCAAAAAAATGATCAATTAACAGTGAGCCTCCGTGTGCGGGTTTTTGATAGGGACCTGCAGCTATTTGAAATTGAGGATGCCTACAATCAATCAACTCATGATGCAGGTGACATAATGAGGGTGGACTTGCTCAATCGCAAATGTCAATGTGGACAGTTCACATCTAGAAGATTCCCTTGCAGTCATGTCTTAGCGGTGTGCAAGGTAGAAAAGTTGTACCACTATGATTATGTTGATCCTGTGTTCTCAATTGCACAAATTGATAAGGTATATGCTGCTCATTGGTATCCAATGGGCAATGAGTTGTTGATTCCACAAATTGATGGCCCAACCATTATCCCAAATGCATCTTTGGTACGTGCACAAGGAAGACCAAAATCGTCAAGGATACAGAATGAGATGGATTGGGTTGAGTCTCAACCGACAAGCAGTCAGAGTAGATGTAGCCTGTGTAAGCAAATTGGTCACAACAAACGTACATGTCCTATGAGGATTCCCAATACAAGATGAATTGCGGAGGAAGCAGGGGAAGGGCTTAATGTTTTGATGGTTTAACATTATAGGCATTTATGGTTTTATATGCTTGTATTTGATGTCATGATGTTTGTATTTGAATGTAATGACGGTGCTATGTTTGTATTTGATCTCATGATGTTTGTATTTGAATGTAATGACGGTGCTATGTTTGTATTTGATGTCATGATGTTTGTATTTGAATGTAATGACGGTGCTATGTTTGTATTTGATGTCATGATATTTGTATTTGACTCACTTAGTTTTTTGACTCGGAAATGCTCCCTAAGTCACACTCCCTTAGTGGATCAGTGTAGAGTGAAACCCAGGTGTAAGTCACACTCGATTAACCTGTACTGGTTTAATCGACTAAATTGTTGGTTTATCAATTACACATGTTTTTTGCCCTAGGTTTCCACTCTACACTGATGGAAAAGTCGTATGTTGTCATAACGTTTGTTTACGGTTAACAATACAAGATGTAGCCTTTTTGAACACATGTACTGATTTGCTGTGATGTGTTATGGAAATGGAATTATACAATATTGAAATGGAATTAAATTCATTACACAACATAACATAGATCCAAAAAACATAACAATTATGCATTCATTAAAAAAAGTTACATTACATCAACGACTTAAAGGAAATACATGAACAAAACACAATAACATGATGTACACCCTAAATCTACTCGTCATCCCCGTCTGTGTCCGTCTCTGAGTCGTCCTCATCTGACACATGACCCCCATCCCTTGCTGCCTCAGCTACCTGACCACCTCTGGAAGCTCCAGACGAGCAAGCCTGTCTTCCACACCCTTAAACCTTCCCTGTATGTGTCTAAACCTTTCATTCCCTTTCTTTCTCCATTTTTTATGTGCCAGCGCCATCTTTCCTATCTTCTTTGTCATTGCATTTATGCCCTTCATGACATCACGCAGTGAAAATCCACCTTCAGGTTCAGCTATCTCCTCAACCTCAGCCACATCCTCCTCCTCCTCCTCCTCCTCCACATCTGGCTCAACAATATGGTCATCTTGGGCAACATAAGGAACCTCAACCTGGGGCATACCACTAAACTCCCACACACCCGATCTCGTGTTCTTAGTAATCTTGCACTGCTCCAATAGACGCTTTCCGAACTTGCAATTATAGCCCGTGGTCTTCTTCAACAGCTCAGTCTCCATGGGAACACCAAAGTGAACCAATATCCTCTGTACCAGACAGGCGTATGGAAGATGACCCTTATGTTTGGCCTTAAACATAAACCAACAGATATAGTGCCTCCAGTTCACCATCTGGGCATGTCGGATAGCCCACATAATGGGAATGTCATGTTCCAACACCCTGGAATGATTAAAAGATCGCGGAAACAGAACGTGGGTGAGGACATAGTGTAGTATACGGGACTCCACAGAAAGCAACCCCACCGTATAGTGCAAGTGTTCCCCACGGACTCTTCTCTGCTCCTGCACGGCATCCTCTCGTACATATCCTGGAAGTACTACACCACTATCAGCGTCATACACCACAGTCTGAGAAGAGTCAAAATCATAGCCGAGTATCTCCAACCATGCAGGTGCCGTCATGATGATCTCTATTCCACAGACCCTCGACCTCAGCTCGCCCTGTACGTAGCTGAGGTTATGGTAGAAGGCCCGCACCATAAGCTCTGAATATGGACATAGGGTCTCGGCCAACACCCTCAGATGTGCCGCCTCCAACACCCCCACAATTTCAAATCCCTCCTTATCAAAAAAGGCTGTATCCAAAGATTTTGGAGCACATAACGGCCGGTTCAAATGGTCACGTACGAATGAAGCGTGGACGGCAGGGTCGTCCTCAAACAGATACCCATACGGGAGGTCAACAGTATCAGGCTCTTCGTCTTGTCGCCTTGACGAAGAAGGCCGCTCTTGCCTATGCTTGGTGCGTCTCTCAAGTGACTCATTGCCCTCATCGCTTGGTCTTCTGCGGCTCGTCATTTGTTTAGGGTACCTACAATGAAACATGTCAGCATTTAACTATATGAAACATGTCATGATGGTAATGAAAACTTGCAACATAAGCGCTGTAAACCAAAAGCAAACTTTTGCCCCATACAAACTTTTCAAACAAAAAAATTCACACAATGCAAAAAAATAAACCTTAGTAGATTAGGGTTACAAAACCTACAACAAACGCTTTGATTAGAGTTCACAAATTCGGACAACAAACAAATACAAAAAATTCCTAAACCTAAAACACAATGCAAGTTAAGAAACCTTACCTATCATTCAGATTTCACGATTTGGACCAAATTTGGGGGCAATCCACACGCCTAAAGGAAGGGTTTGGGGCGTTCTTCAGCTGCTCCTGCGGATTTGGGGTTTGGGCCGCCTCCTTAGTCGATTAGGTCATCCTACTCCCCCTCTGCCAAATGAGGGGTTTTTAAAAAACAAATCCGTCGATATTTAGTCGACTAAATATCGATACTTAGTCGACTAAATATCCCAAAAATGTAGTCGATTAAGATGATTTTTTAGTCGACTAAATTTGCGGTAGTCCACTTTATGAAGATTGACCATTTGCTCGACTAAAACAGCAAGGTAGTCGACTAAAAGGGGGCAGGTTGGTGGATAGTTCTTGATCAGGGGCAAATTGGTTATTAATTAATTAATGAGGGGCAAAAGGGTCAAAAAGCCTCATATAATTTTTTAAAATATTATAAATGCATATTATCCTTTCAAATCTTATAAATTTTATTAAAATTCTTTAAAATCCATTTTAACAATGTATTTAAAGTCATTGTTCACCACATGAAAATATCCAAACCTACACCTGCAAACATTCACAAATAATATACAAAAATTTCAACTTTATAAGTGAGTTGGAGAAATAATGGAAAAATAAATATAAATTAAATAACAAAACTTTTACATTGGCATCCTTTGAACAAGCCCTTCTGCAAAGTGGTTGAAAGCTATAGTGACATGCATGTTTTTGTCTTGAGTGTATGAGTCGCTGTGACCCAACAGCATAACCTTGTCGTGCTTGGTAAAGTAATTGTTGGAAATGGTAATTGCAGTGGACGCAAGAACGGCATCGATCAAACCATCAGTGCATTGAGAGAATGAGCAATGGTCAATCCATATGTGGCTTCCTCCTAAGATGGAGATACCATCACCATCCGACACGGTTCTCCACCCGTAGTGGTCTGGTGAGTCCCGCACCATAGCATTCCCACCTGGCTTACAATCATGTATATGTATCCCATGTATTATAACATTGGTCACATATTGTATAGTAATGCATGGACCACCAGCTATATGCACGTTCGCGCCTCTTCCATCAATTGTCTTATGCGAGTTCATGATTAACTCTACCTTCAGTTTAATAGTCATATCTCTTGCGAATATGATCCACAATGGCTCGTCTTGAATCACTGCATGCCGGAGTGTCCCCGGTTTCGGTTTCACCGCGTCATAGTCGCCGGAGTCGGTGACAATATATAACTTACCATTTTTTCCACCAATGGCTTTCTTGCCGAAACCGATTGCACAATCTGCTAGCCTTCTCCTGTTGTAAGCCCAATTGGGGTCACATCTCCAACAATCATCAATGGGGTTGCCAGTCCCACAAGAGCGGGACATCAAATCTGCATTAGCCATATGTTTATGCTTTAGCAAGTTTTAATTAATGTTCTGAGAGTCAAATTTATTTTATAAATGAGTGAAGATTGTCTGAATGTAAATAAGCAAGTATCAGAAAGAAGCAAGTAAAAAAAAGAACAACTTATTCTATTATGACTAAAGGGGATTACAATAGGGTATGACTATGTATTGCCTCTTCTTATCAAAGGATAATAGATAAAAGCCCATGAAATAAGGAATCCCAAAAGGTGATGGTGATCCTTAGCAAAGAATTCTCAAACTCCCCAAACATTACCCTATAGCATTCTAGGAATAGAGACAGCAGCAATAAACCAAGAGCCGGGGGGACAGATATCTTTGCCCAAATTACACTCTTTCCAACTCCTTTCTTCATATTATAGGTAGCTCCTTTGTCATTTGCATCATTAGGCGTAGCCCAAAGTTCTCTAAATTTACTAATAATCTTTTAAGGGCTGCTTAACGGCTGTACTGTCATTTTTCTTTCTTTCATTTTAATTATGAGGAACTATTATTCTCTTTGAAGTGACTTGTTTTTTCGTACAACTTGATTTGCAATAGTCATCATCTTTGCTCATCAAGTTAATTTGAACCTGTGAGTTCTTTAGACTCTGTCTTACTGGTCAATGTGTGTGTGTGTGTGTATTCATCTTACTTACCATTGTAAATACATCAAAAAGATGTAGCTTGAGCTTGATAACACCTGTTCTTTGCCTGCATAGTTCATGTTTTGTATGGCTTGGTTATAGTTGTGTTATTTATTTTTAGAATGCAGAAATTAGCTCAGGAACAAAATGAAAAGATTGAAAAAGTAAATCGTGAAAGGAAATATCATCAGGTAATGACTTTTTATCCACCCTTCTTTCTGTTATTTTTTAAAACTCTGTTAACCTTTTACTTAAAAGGCTTTTTTTAAAAAACTATTGTCAGCAAAATACCGCATATGAGCTTAATGCTTTGTGCATGCAATGGAGGGAGCTCTGTCAGAAAAATATAGACATCAGTGTTGCGTGTACTTCACTTGACACACACATAAAAGAATTGAAAAGAGAAGCAACAGAAAGGTG